ATTCACTGAGTTGCTCTCTATATAGGAGATTTAGAAAAAATACGTGAACTACCTATGTCTGTGTTGACATGGACAAAATTAAATGGAAAAGTGAGGTAATTATCTGAGGACTGCATGCAAAAGAAGTTCTTTTATGGGGTGGAGAATGGACGATTATTGTATTTTTACCTGTTTTATTTGAAGGTCTCCCCTTTGAAGACAGCATGGAAGGATCCTAGCCATCTTGACTTCCAGCTGATTCTTTTAGAACTCCTAGAACTCATTGTGGCCCTAATGAGAGAACAGAATTCATCCAGAGGGATGCAATTAGTTTCCTATTGCTGCTCTAATGATACAAACTAATTGACCATAAACTACACACATTTATCATCTTACAGTTCTGAAGACCAGAAGTCCTAAAATCAAGATGGCGGTAGGGCTGTAGTCCTGTTGAAGGCTCTAGGAGAGAATCTGTTTCCTTGCCTTTTCTGCTTCTACAGGTTGCCTCCATTCCTTGTCCTGTGCTTCTTCCTCCATTTTCAAGGCCAGCAGTGTGGTATCTTCAATCTATGTCTCTGAGTTCTGCTTTTGTCATCACACCTCCTTCTCTGGTTTTGACTATCTTGCCTTTCTTTTATGAGGACCTTGTGATTACACTGGGCTCACTCACCTGGCTAGTCTGTCCAGTCTCTCCACCTCAACATCCTTAACCGTCATATTTGCAAAGTCCCTTTTGCTTGGTGTGTTAGTTAGCTTTCCACTACTGTGAGAAAATACACCAGAAGATCAACTTGCAAACAATGAGGGTTTATTCTGGCTCATAGATTTGGAGGTTTCCTTGGTTGGTCCCATTACTTTAGAGCCTGTGGTAAGGCAGTATATCATGGCAGGATTTGTGTGGTGGTGGAAGACCATTCACCCCATGGTTGGGACTCAAAAGAGAAGAAGACAAAGGGGCCAAGGTCCCAATATCCCCTTTAAGGGCATGTCACAAATGGAAGTCACAAACTTCCTACCACTAGGTCCTACTACGTAAAGGTTCTACTTTTCAATAGTGCCACCAGCTGGGAACAAAGCCTTCAGCATATGGGCTTTGGGGGGACATCTCACATCTAAATATAAAGTAAATATAAAATAATCTATTCTCAAGTGATCAGGAGGGGGACATCTTTTGGGGTGGAGCATTATTTTGCCTACTATAGAAAAAGGTCTGTCTTATTCTTTATCTTTCAGTTCCAGGAGGGCTGAAATAAGGGGTCGGTGTCCCTTTTTCCTTTCTTTCCAAAGCCTGAGGTTTTGGGTCAGATTTATAACTAGGACTTGATATTTACAAATACTTTTGAGAAATCAGGGGTTCAGAGCTTATTTCGATGAGATATGTCATCTATCAAGAAATGTTTCATTATTATGTGAAGTTCATTGCTATGCTATGCTATGCTGAGGGGGACATTGAAGTGATGTAAATAAATTTTCAGCATATGTGTAAAAGCAGAATAATCCCTAAAACACAGAAAAATAGGGTAATCAGTCTAAACTCCTAACTTTAGTTTGCTCTGTGTTCTTGTGGGGGGGAGCATGTGCTTCCTACGTGTTGGAGGCTGTGTAGTGATTACCTCCTGACTCCTAGTAGTCTTTCCTGACTCCCCAGCCTGAATTAGAAGTTCTCCTGTTCTTCTATGGTGTCTAGAGTGGTTTGATTTTGTAGCATTGATTGCACTGTATTAATTCTTTGCTTACTTGTTGATCCACTGCATTGCATTTTAAGCACAGATCATTCCTTATTTTCTGATGCTTCCCTTGTGCCTGACATCTTGCCTACCAGTGATTATGTAATGAATTAAACTTCTTGAATTTCCCTTCATTTTTGAACTTTCTCATGGACTTACAAGGCTATCATACTGGTAAATGAGATAATTTCTCTTAATTGCTTAAGATATTTGGAGAAATATTTCATTAGATTATGCCACATATGGAGCTATCAAAGAAAACTGTGAGCTAAAATTTACCCTTTTCCTTTAATTTCACCTGCCAAAATGTTGGTTGGTAAAACTTGTCTCTATGGTGAATTGAGCCAACTGGAAACAACATAAACAATTTTACAGAATGCCTGACAAATAGAAGGCACCCAATAAAGCTTTAAAGAATAAGATAATGAAATAATTAGTTAATTAATTACAAGAAGAGCTTTGTGCTTTATTGGTCATTATACTTCTAACAGCACATCTTTTTAGAAAAGTAAAAATCTTGTATTTACATACAGAATCTTGTATGTAAATTTTTGACTCCTTATTGTTAATAAAGAGGAAAACATTTCCCTTCAATTCCCATCATTGGGGTATGAGTTAGGTTTTGCTGCGTTAATAATCTCAATGATTATTTCTTACTACCTTCATATGAGGCTGTGGGCTTGCTGAGATTTGGTTGGCATGGCTGGACTTACTGAACTTGGTTGTACACTACTGTCTAGACAGGTCTTCTCATTCTTGAACAAAAGTCAAAGAGGAAGCCAATACCTGAGATATGCTCTACTCAAGGTCAAGAGCCAAAGTTCAAAGGGATGGTAGAACAGGGTGATCTTTGCAAGAGCACATAAATCTGCTCTGATACAACATATGAGTTCAATTTATATAGCCTTAGTAACTAAGGTGATTATAAGGTCTTTAATAGATTCTGTATAACTAGTACTCCAGAGGGAAAAGTAAACACATTTAGGAATTTTAGCTAAAGGAAAAAAATTCAACTTTGTAAATATATAAACATTTTTATGAGGGTGCTTTATGATGGTCAGTTATTTTTTATTTCTGTTGCCCATGCCAACAGAAAAGGATTTAAATTAAAGTAGACATATTGGGGTATAGTTACCATAAGGGACAGTTTCTTGACCAGTCAAGTGAAAAGATATAGAGTGGCAAAAGGTCTCCCTAGTGGAACAATTAAATCATTTATCTGCTTGAACCGAGACTGGGCCAGATGACAGGTTTCTGTCAATTCTCTATTATTGTACTTTGAATTTGGAAGTGAAGAAGTTCTTTTCAAGACAGATGGTATTAAAATTCCTCATAAATCAGCAAAATGGCTCTAAGAAACTTAGAAGTTGGCTTGATGTGAAAATCAAGAGAGGAAGATAAAGTCCTGAGCACTTATTACTTATTCTTCAGAGAATAACACATCATGGTTAATTTTATTTTTAATGTATTGATTTGTTTTGGTCATCCTTTCTTTCAGCAAGCATTTAATTAGTACCTACTGTGTCAGTCACTATGACAGGTAGGTGGTTTGGCAAGAAATGATACAATTTGTGATTAAAACATCCAATATAATCAGCTCTAAATGTCACACATCACCATCATTCTACTTCTGAATTTTTATATTTACCATTTAAAAAAGAGAATGAGGTATTTAAACTATATTTTATGAAAACAAAAATGCTTTAAAAATTACCACCTTTCAGGGGATCATATAAATGCCTTTTCTCAGGCATTTTTTTAATGAGCTTTGAGGTGTTCTTAAAGATAAGTGATCTTTGACAGCAAATTGTCTTTTTATTTGCTTTGGAGGTGGATTTGTGAAATCAGTGGTTCCGAGATGTTGTGTTTGGTGAATACTTTGAAATAAGTCACCTCTTGTGAGAAGTCAGACAGCTCTGTATTATTCTGAGTGTGCTGGTGGTATAGCTGCCCAAGAGGCTCAGAAAGTAATAGCTTTCTTTTCTCCTGAAAAGATGCAACTATGACTTTAAAAAATTTTTTTTGTCACAGTAGTTGCTTTGTGGCATGCCTGAGTCTTAATCCTTGTGCTACAATGGAATGTGTTTGCTTCTTTGTTGCAACCAATGTGTGATAATCCGAGCTGACTCTTAGAAATGCTTCCCAGAGACAGGGAAGGCTGAAGTTCTGGAGAGTTGCTGCTTCCTTAATCCTTGCATTAGGAGGGCAGGAGTTTAGGAGGACAGGAGCTATTTGGTAACTCCACCATTATTTCCATTTTGTAGATTGGAAAACAGGCACAGAGAGGCTGAGAATCTGTTCAAACTCACAAAACTAGTAAACGGTACAGTCAGGCTTTGAATCCAGCTCGTATAGCTCCATTTTACTGCCTTTCATAAAGCAAACCCAATAAGCTCCGCTCTCCTTAAAACGAAGAAATGATTGCTGCTTCGTTTGGTTTCATCCTATCCTTCCCCTTGATTTTCTGGCTCCTCGGGTTTGAACCACGAGTTTGTAGTTGCTTCTTTTAACACAAGTGCAGAACTTTTCACAGATCTTTGTGGTGCTTAATTGCAGAAAGCGTACAGTGTATACACACACACTTAAAAAGAACGACGGCTGTTTATTAATCAAGGGAGGTTTGATTCGGGCCTGTCATGACCAGTCATTCTTCAAGGAGGGGCGAGAGCCAGGGAGGAAGAAGGTTCTTCCCCATCCAGGGTGCACGCATACACGCGAGTACGCGTCCTCTGGGAAGGGGCCGTGGGAGTCAGCGTGGCACAGCCCCCTGAGCCGCGGGGACCTGAGTCTCTGGGTTCCCGGCTGGTCTCGGAGCTCCTGGCCCCAGCAACGCGTCGCTGACCGTGGCCGGGACAGCCTCCGCCCGGGGACTGGGCGCTAGGAGGGAACGTTGGTCTTTTGAGCTGGAGGAGGAGCGTGGGTGCATCCTGGCCCCATATCTGCTGCGACCTCTGGGTGCTAAGGGACATCAACCTGGGGGAAGGGGCACCCGACTGGGGAAGAAGAGCAAGGAGCAAGGGCAGACTGTGCGCGGTGTGAGCCCTTGCTTGCTCCGATCTGCCACCCCATCCCTTACCTCCCCCGCCTCGCTCGGTCCCCCGCCACCGCCCACCTGGGCGCCCAGGGCTGCGGTGACCGCGCGGCGCTCGCTCCCAAAGCGGCATCCGTGGCTGTCTGCCGAGCTCGCTGGGTCCTTGCTCCCCCCCTCCCCCGCATCGTCCTCCTCTCCCCCCACCCGCGGTGCCGACGTGCTCGTTCACTGCCACTTCGGTCGGGGCGCGCCGGTGGGTTTGGCCTGCGCGGCGACGACGGCGGCGGGGGAGCGAGTGAACGCGAGGGGCGGGCGCAAGTGCCTGTGAGTCACCGGTACCTGGGGTGCGAGCGACGCAGAGCCAGCGGCGCGGAGCCCGAGCCGGAGCCGAGCGCGAGAGCCCGAGAGCCGGAGACCCAGAGAGCGCGGCCCGCCCCAGGCGACAGGCCCCGCCGCGCCCCCATCGCGCCCCGCCAGGCAGGCTCGCCCCGATCCCCGCGCCCACTCCCCACCCCGGCGCACGGCGCCCGAAGCCCTCCCGCCTGCCCGGAGGCGGCGCGGGGCTCGCCGGGGGATGTCACAGCGGCTCCTCGGAGCCCCTAGTCGCCGCCGCCGCAGCCACCGCCCGTGGGAACCGCGACAATGAACCCCCAGTGCGCCCGCTGCGGAAAAGTCGTGTATCCCACGGAGAAAGTCAACTGCCTGGATAAGGTGAGCGAGGGGCACCGGGCCAGCCCGAGCTGCGGGCCGCGGGGCTGCACCTGCTCCGAGAAGTTTTGGCACCTGGGATGGCAAGGGATGAGCGGGTCGGTGTTTGCGTGTGTCTTGGCACAGGGGCAGGGCGCGCGAGGGAAGACGACCCGCCCAAGGGTCGCGGATCACGCTGGGTGATTGGGGATGTTGGCTTTTGTCGGGGTGGGGGCTGCGTGGCATCCGCACAGCTGCCGGCCCGGGACACCGAGGGACCAGGCTGGGCACCCGAGGGGACAGCTCGGCCAGCCGCGCCCTCTCCCACGTCCACTTTGCCCCGTACTCTCTCCCCCACCCACCGACCCCAGCGCCTCCCGTGACCGAGGCGAGGGAGAAAAGCAAATAGTAATTAATATGTCATAGGGCGGCCGCTGCCGCATTGCTAAGAATAATCCGCCAGCTAGATTCACGGGTGTCTGATCCACCCGGGTGGGGAATTCCAGAGGAAGTGGCTTTAGTTGGGTCCCTCCAGCTCTGCCTTTCCTGTGTGTGGATGGAGTTGTACAAGCTGGGAGAGAGACCCGGGCACAAATCGTGAGTGATTGATAATTGAAACCAGCCGGAGGCGTCCCCAGTGAAATTTGCATTAGGTGACACAAACGCCTCTTTAGAGCAAGCCGTCATCCCGACAGTCAGGCTGCGTCTGTCCTGTAATTCAGTGGAAGCTGGGCAGGGATGGGGGACAAGGATACTTAGTCTGTCTCTTGCCATCGCGGGTTGCCTGACTTCCGGTGGACACAGGTTTTATGGAGATCCTACAAACCCTGCGTTTAGTCACTTTGGAATCCTTTTCTCTTTGAAGCCACTCCATGGGCCCCATGTCTCCACTAACCAGCTTAGAGTTCCCTTTTGGCTGCTCATAGCAGAGCATTATGAACAGAGCCTTGGTAGTTCTTCCATCGTGAGTCTGAAGCTGAGATGGGATTAATTGAAAACTCTACTTTAACAGCTGCCCGATTTAGTTACTGAAGTGAATGTAGGTAATTGCAGGGACTGCGACCTACAGTCATTTCTGTAGTGTTTTCAAATACGGGGAACGTGGTGCATTAAAACACCTTCCTTCTGTAGCCATCCTGTTCAGCACTGACATTGTCCTCACATTTTAAATATTTATTTTTTTTCAGTATTGGCATAAAGGATGCTTCCATTGTGAAGTCTGCAAGATGGCTCTCAACATGAACAATTACAAAGGCTATGAAAAGAAGCCCTATTGTAATGCGTAAGTATTGCCAGTGTGGTATGCCAGGTGTGGCACAGCACGAGAGAGCATAAAAGTCAGTAGAGCTGCCTGTGCTGAAGAATTGACTCACTGTGTCACCCAGGTGTGCTGGTGGCCAATTACCTGTTTATGCCACACTCTGGGACCATGTATTTGTTGAAGGTCACTGCATTTATGTCTTGCTAATAGGAAGGCTAATTTGTGTGAATCTTCTGCCAGCTTAGTTTTTTGAGGCTCATAGCATTACAGAGGTAGGGACATTTATGAGAAGCTGCAGAACTTACCCACTGAGAATGTGTGGGCTCTGATGTGCATGTCAGGTAGATTTCCATTTTAATCATATGTCAATTTCCATTTTAATCATTGGAGGTTGCCATCTTGCAATTTTACATCTGAACCTCGTTGCTAGGGAAAGGAGTCTTTGCTTGCTTGGTCTTAGTTGAGACCATACTAGGGTTTAAACCGAAAAGCAAAGATTGGGACCTGGGTAGTCCAGGCTGGTTGGTAGTAGGTCTGTTGCAGAATTTCTATAGTAGACGGTGTTCTTTCGGCTCTCTGATAGTAGGTGGGAAATTAAAGAAGTTAGCTTTCTTTGGTAGGCTTTTCTGGAGGCACACTTCCAGCCTATAGCAGTGGTAATACAGTGCTTACCAGGAGTCAGGCTGTGTTCTTAGCACTTTATGATACTTTCTTATTTAATCTTTACCAAGACCCTGTAAGTAAGGCAGGGACACTATTATCCCCATTTAGCAGATAAAGAAACTGAGGCATTGGGGGGATAAGCCTCAAGATGGAGCTCAGAACTGAGGGCTGCCTTGGGGCTTGTATTTTGCCTCACAGTTTTCAGCTGTGGGTTCTTGGTCCTGATTGTTGAGCTTTTCTCCTCCCAGTTTCCCTCTGGGGCTAGCCTGGTCCAGAGACAGCAGAGGTCTTTTGGCTGGAGTATCCTCAGAGCATCCTTCTGCGCCACCCCCCCCCCACTTCCAGTGTTTGAAGTGGCTTCATTGGGGTCTCTGGGAATCATCACGTAGCAGAACTGCATCACCGCTGGCAGCAAATTTTGGGTAAACAAATATAATGTGCTCAGACCTCTTTGGTAAAGAACTTTACAAAATTTGACTGGCGGAGAATTAAAAAAAAAAAACTTTTTAGAAATTCTCCTTGTGTTTCCTTCAGGCCTAGTTTAGTGCTCATAAGCAGACCAGAGACTTTCCAAGAACTCAGAAAATGGGGTTATGAAGTCCATAGATACTCCCCAAACTTGTTTTCAACCCTCCAGACCATGCCTCTTATTGGGAAGATGTGAAGCAAAGGTGAGGTTTTGGTGTCATGGTCTCTCCTGCTTCCCTTAAGGAGAGGTATAATGACTGGTTACAGATCAAAGGGAGGCCTAAGGAGAAGAGAAGGGCCCAGACAACCCATAAACAAGTTAATTGTTCTTTGGTTAAAGGAAAGTGAACCATTATTCCTGTAACTGTTGCAGCTTGCAGCCTGATTCCATCAGCTTTACGGACCACAACAGAATTCTTTACAGCTCAGTAGCCGTGGAGTTTAACCCAAGTGCTAACAATGTCTTCGGGTGCCCCGGTGGGCTTAGGAGGGTTCAGGCTCAAGAAGGAAAGAGAGAAAAGGAGGAGGAAGTAACAATTGCAACAGGGATGAGACATAGAGAGTTGAGTGAGAGAGAAAAATGACAAAAATCAAAGGACAGAACAAGATGCAGCTGATGTGGACTCATTGACTGCACCGGGCCCCTTGAAAATTCAGAGCTTTCTAGTTAGCTTAAATTGGGCTTAATTAAAGAAAAATAACAAGCCAGGTGTGGTGGTGCGTGCCTACAAATCCCAGCACTTGGGAGGCTGATGCAGGAGGATCTTGAGTTTGAGGTCAGCCTGGGCTATGTAGTGAGACCCCGTCTCAAGAAAAGAAAAGAAAAGAAAAGAAAAGAAAAGAACAACAAAAAATACAAAAAACCAGACTCTGCGGTAAGTTGAGGATGAATCAGGAGGGGCTAATTTAATAGCAAAGCAGTGCCCAGAAATGGTAAGATTTGGATCCCAAATAAAAGACTATTTATAAATAAGAAATACCCTGCTGTCTGATTTTATAGGCTTGAGTTGTATTTTTAATACTTTTGGTACTTCTAAATCCAATGTTTACATATTTCTTAACATTTCTTATGATTTGACTATTTTATTAGTAACTGTAAGTCAAATTTTAAGGGTAGCACCTCAGAATATTTGGTTAATATTGAAGCTGATAGTTTATTGAGTAGATAAAGGGAAGATAGGAGTCCATTTTTAATGGGTAAGTGAATAGAGACCACTAATATTTTAAATTTGTTTAATTTAGCTTTAAGTTCAGATCATTGCTTAATATACTATCTCCAGAAAACAAGGCCTGGCAAGTTGTAGGTTTGTCTGCCTTGAGGATTCCAGGCTTGAAGGCATCTGTTGTTCTCAACCCATATTTTTCTAAGGGCATGTATTGCTATGTAATCTGGTCCATGTGGATTATCCTCTGGGGATCCTGATGCATCTGCTGTAATTCAGGGACGTTTGTCAATCAGCTGTTCAATGGTCATGGCCCCAATGGTGGTCATAACTTGTCTGGGTCAATGGAGAAAAATTGATTCTCTAATGTGTATGGCTCCCAGAAAATGAAACATTCATTGTCCATGTAAAGCAGTATTTTATCTGTACCTGCTTTGGCAATACACACATAGGCTTAAATGAAAAGACCAACCTTCTTCCCTTGTCATTTCTTATGGTGAAAATGGTTGAAAGAATACTATTATTCCTATGTCGAATGTATCTTTCATTATGGGGCTGAAAGGCACAAGTATCTGAGGCAATTGGTTCTGGGATCCCTGGAACAAATCCTCCCCCCCGCCATCACAATCTGTGTATGCTCAAGTCCCTTGTAAAAAATGGTGTATTTGCATATAGTTTACATGTGTGCTTCCATATACTTCCAATCCTCTCTAGATCACGTATAATACTTAATACAATGTAAATGCTGCATAAATAACTGTTACACTGCGGTGTTTAGGAAACCATGGCAAGAAAAAAGTCTGTACATGTTTAGTCCAGATGCAGTTGTTCTAATATTTTTGATCTGTGATTAGTTGAACTTGTAGATGTGGAACTTACAGATAAGGAGGATCAACTTTACAATGAACATGTGTATACCTTTCCCCAAGATTCAACTTGTATTAACATTTTGCCATGTTTGTTCTATACTTTTATATATCTAATTATATGTACAATTTTTTGATGTTGTGGGGTCATTTGTCAATTTCATACAGTATAACATCCAAATGTCATGCTATGTAACATTTTATCCCTAAAACCTACAACATGCTCTAAGAAGAAGGACATTTTCTTAAGGAATCATAGAACCATTATCAACCTGAAGAAAATTAATCAAAATTTCATAATAACATCTATATCCTTCCACATTTTCATTTCCCCCTTTGTCCTTTTACATCTTTTTTTGTTGTTGTTATGAAAATGACAACTTTTTGTGGTTATTAGAAGCTTAACATCAGTTATTCAATTTCTGCTGTCATTTCTCTTGGCTTATATAATCTCAGTTTTCAGGATGAGTACTTAAGTAGCATTCCTTGTGAAAATAACACACAAAATTAACTTCAGGACCTTTAAAATAAACAGTAAGAATATGTTTAAAAATTTGAAAGCATGAACATAGACATTTAGAATTATTTTAAGAAAATAAGAGCTTGTTGTTTTAATCAGTACCTGAGGGCATTTTAAATGGAATGAAGTAGTGAGTACTTCTTTGGTTTAGATGTGTTGCTTGTTTGTATTCTCATGTGTTTAGAGAAGAAACAAGTATTCTGTTTGATTTTAGGCAAAGGAGAACATGTATAAAATATAATTTACATGATATTTAAATTTTGATCTTTTGATAGAATGATCAAAGTATAGTATATACTAGATGTAAGACTGAGCATAATACACATTTAGTTCTAACACAGCAGTGCATGCTATTAAAATATTTAAAAACAAACCAGTCTACTTGAGTACGTGCCATGTTTTATAAGCCTGTATGTTTCATAAGCAGGCAGTGGATTCCTTAGCACATTCAGGATTTTCTTCATCTTAGAACTTGCAAAACAAAGAGAACCAAGCAATACTCTTATTGCTAAGAGGTGCTGAGAAAATAACACTGGCTGATTAGACAAAAAAAACATAGCTCGTATTTATAAGGGAATTTATGTGCCAAGTTAAACTATGCACATTTTGCTACTCAATATGGTTCATAAAAATATAAACCCCAAGGCCATTTGTCAGATTATTTAATTTGTTATGTGCAAAAGTCAAAATTGCATTTATGATGTGTTTGTAAAAAAAAAAAAATCCATGAGCTTGTAGACTTTTCTGAGCTAATACTGCTTAGAAATAGCAAAGCTAGTGACTGGCCAGTTAATATGCTTTGCCAAATGTCACACTATCTTAGGTCTGGGGAGAGACCAGGTAATGATGCGGTGGTGTATATGACCTTACCAATAATTTCCCCAAATTACACCTTCTGCAGAATTTTCTTCAGGCTCAACATTTGTCTGAATGTTCACATTTAATATATCTTGAATCCATGTCAAACGTATCTTTAATTATGGGACTAAAAGAACACAAGTATCTGTGGTAAGTATGTTTAGTCACCCTTCCAAACAAGATTCCCTCCCACCAAAGTGTCTCACTTAACATGATTTTGGAAGACTTAAAAATGAAACAGCAGGCGCTATGTATTGCATTTACTTCCTGTCTGGCTGGGTTAGCAATCCTCCTCGTGAATATTCATTGACTCTCCAGCCTGGAAGATGCTGATCTGGGCACTGCTCATTATGAGCTGCCCAGAATGGTCAGCGCACTTCTGCCAGCCTGTCTTGAGAGTGCTTATGTAGGCCAAGGCTCTGATGTCTCTCCCCATTTCTCTGCTGGTCACTCCTTATAAGTCCTTATTCTGAGGTTATCAGA